AAAAAAAAAAAAAAAAAAAGGAAGATAAAAAGGTATTTCATTTGTAATATTTTTCTTTTCAATATTTTTCTATCCATTTTTTTCAAAAAAATTTACAAACCTTGACGTCATAATAAAAAATAAATATAATTTTTCTATTTTCAACTTATTATTTTGATTTTGTTATTTTGTATTTTGGGTCATTTGGCCATACAAAATAACATTGTATTATAGAAATTAATAATTAATCAATAATACGATGTTATGCAATAAGTTTTATAGGCATGTAGCTTTATATAAAACACCTTATTTTTCTAAAATAAAAGTTTACGACAGTAAAACAATTTTTATAAAATGAAAGTCTATCGAAGTCTATGATAAAACTTTCATTTATTCAAATATATGAAAGTAATAAAGTTCATGAACTTTACTTACAAAAAGTCTAAAAATTTAGATTCAATATATATATATATATATATGGGAAATTTTAGTTTTGGGTATTTATTAATCTGCAGTCACTCAACTTTCAGTGAAACTTCAGTTGGATTACAAACATTAAACTGTCTAAATTAGGTCATTGAATTTTAATTAAATTAATATTTCACCTCTCTTGTATTCCTTCACTTGATTCCTCTAAACTGACAAAAAATTGATAGTATATTTTTCACATAATTGCTATCCAGCAACCTAGAAATATAAATAATTAGTGAAGGTAATGACATCTTTAAATCAAGAAGTTAAAAAGGCGTGAGTCTTAATACACTTTTATTATGTGTGATAGAGTGGTAAGTTAGAATGTCACACAACAATTACATAGAAGCGATTTTCATCAATTCGAATTTAAAATAAAAGTTGAATTCCAGTGACCAAATTATGTGTGTGTGTGTGTGTTTTGTGTGTGTTTTTTTTTTTTTTAAATGATATGTACAAAGTTGCGCTTCTCGTGGACAACAACAAACTTAATATTCTACCACAATATTGATATTATACTTCTTCAAGGGCATTCATATATCATAATACATAAATGAGAGCTGATGATCTTTCCTTGTAAATTTCGCCACGCAGATAGGTACAAAGCTAGTTAAGGGCTTGAGTCCAAGTATAGAGCTATATCGTAATCCAGTGTTTATCAATAATCAATATAGTGACAACAATATAAACAAATGAGATAACATACAATGATTTGTTGTTATGTATTTGACATGAATAACATACTAATCTTTTCTTTTGGAATGGTGAAATTGGTTTACAAATCAACTAACTAAATTTTCAAGCCTTTTTTGGAATTGAAAAAAAAAAATAAAAAAATCACTCTTTCTTAATCAGTTGACTAGAACTCGTGCTGATAACCTATTATAAAATTGTGAATAAAACAATAAGAAGAGAATATTGTTAAGAATGCGTATGAAAACAACAAAAAGATAAAAGATACAACACTAAAAGCTCATCACCACCTTATCAAAACTCATCACCTACTGTAATTCCTCACTAAATATTCTTTTACTTGTCAAGGTTGTGGAAACGTACTTGAAGTGAAAATTTCCGAAGATTAAATATGTTGAATCACTTGTTTTAATTCGTTTGACCCAATTGGTCCAAAACTCTATCAAATTGAAGGAGTTCTTTTAACCACATTCCAAATGCCTTTTTCCAATTGATTGAGTGCCTATTTGACATGACTTTTGAAAGTCAAAAGAACTTTTGAGACTCAAAAGTTGCTTTTGGACCTATTTGGTTAATTCTATGAAAGTGCTTCGACTAGTTAAATGAGCTTTTGGATGAAGTTAGTCTAATTTGACTTTCTCTAAAAACACTTCTGGAATGTGAAGCTTTTTTGAAATTATTTTTCAAATAAAAATTAAGGTAGCTTTCTCCAAAAGTTCTACAAGAAGCAAAAGCAACATCTAAAGTCAAGCCAAACGGACCCTAAATTCCCTAAAAAAGTGATTTATTGACTTTTCACTTTTTCACCATTTCTGCATACGAATTTCATGTGTATTTCTTATGTAGAGAGATTTATGTATTGTGTAAACTTTCACACTTTCAAGTTTTTACATTTTGGAAGTTATATTAATGCTTATGGATGGTATGAGGTTATTGTATAATTCTAACAATAACTAATCCAACCAATCCATTTCACTCTTCATGTGCCGGGTTAACATATGGGCGACACGTCCATTTTCAACCTATCATACTCGTACATGATAGACTTGACCTGAAATAATCAATCATCAGTTAGATCTATTTAAAGATCAAACTTATATGGTTCATAACGAAAAATGAATTGTGCGACCCGTGAGTAACTTAAAGCAGCCAATTCTATCCACTCACTGGGGATATATAACAACTTTGCAAGAGGAATCACATTTCTCTCCATATCCTAGACTTATTTCTAACATCTAGTTCAAGTATTTTCGATCCTCAATAACTTAAGAACATGCTTGAACTCTACACCATATATTGTATTCACAATTGTATTTAAACTCCAATTAGTTAACACAATTGTCTGAACTATGATTACAAATGTGTTAGATAGAATAGTCTTCCTTTTCTACTCAAATCTCTAAACCTTAAAATAGTTTTTTTTTTCTAATCATATCATGTTAGACCAAATCATTCATGATCATTGAAAATATGATAAAATTGCAAAACTATAATAAAATTTTAACAAATAGTCAAAAGTTAGAGTATATTATACATGTGCCTCAGAGACTCATACAATGAAGAAGTAGGGATTCATTCTTTCATTTCTCATTAATCATCAAATCAAATGTGGTGTGATTCACGTGCTACGGTATCTTCTCCTTTTTCCAAGGGTATATGTCATATTCTAAAAATTAAATACACTGTACAGATATTAGTTCAAGCATTCCTCGAAGCTTAACTTAAATTCTCCTTATATTTATTCCTCTAGGCAATCTTAATCAAGAACTCGATTGACAACTCGGAATCTACTTCGATTATTTATAGTAATCTCATTTTGATTCTTCATCAAGATGATTGAATCACGTACATGACACGCTCTTTTTATCTCATCTCAGTACATTCCAAAATTTCCGAGTCAATTGCTCGTGTGAGTCAGCCAATCATTACCCGTTCAACATACTTTCTATGTGTGCATGCAAATTACTCAGAAGTAATCACAATAAAGAATGAACTCAAAAAGATTTATTCGTTGATGAATATTTAAGATTTTACAAGGTACATTACTAAATTCAATGAAATCTTAGAGATTTAACGTGTCACAATTACATCTCTAGGTATTGATTTAGTAATCAGATCATCTACCATATGATGTGTAGAAATACCGCGAAGTCACTTTTATTTTTGTTATGATGTCTCATACAAGATTATATTTTGTATCAATGTGTTTGGTTATGCTATGATACTTGTGATCCTTCGTATATGCGATAACAGCTTAACTATCACAATAAATCAATGTAGGCTCCACATCATTGTTAGAAATTCCAAGATGTTAGGAATCTTCTTAACCAAATAACTTCTTGTACTACTGACAAGGAAATGTATGTCTGTTTCTTGCTACTTCAAGAGATGGTGCCATTATTAAATAAGAATACATATCCCGAAGTTAATTTACGATCATTTAGGTCTCTACCCTAATCAGCATCTGTGTATCCTTTCAAGCACAAATCATATACCTTGATAGCACAGTGAATAACTACCAATAACATTAGGTATCTCAATATCCTCTTAACATATTTCCAATGTTCTTTTCCAAGATTAGATTGATACCTGCTAACCAACATAATAAATGTAGGGATGAGTGTGTCATAGCATACATCAAGCTCCCAACTGTACTTGGAGTATGG